TGACTCAATGAATTATGTTATAAAAACTTTGAACGCGTTTTTCTCGAAAACTCATTTTTCAAACTGGTACAGAGCTTTTCTCGAAATCTACAGAACCGATTTTAAAATCCCACAAATTTTTCGATTCTTTATTTAAAAAACTGGTGCCTAAACCTCTAAAAACTCATATTTCTACCCCCTGTGTTTTTATATGGAGGTAAATTGACCCAAAAACACGGCGTTTTTGTGAGTTTTTGAGAAAAATGTACATAAAAAATAAAAAAAAACCTTTAAAAAAAATCGTTTTTGAGGTTTAGGCACAAGAATAAATCCTTATGAAGAGATTCCCGTTTGGAACTTGAATTTATGTATTACAGGTTGCCTGGAATCTAACGTACCAAAAAAAAAAAAGGTATCTTTTGGAAGACGCCACCTACAGCTATGAAATTGAACTAAATACACTCAAACATATTTTTTAAATTTTCTCTACGCAATGTGCTACAATGTCCAAAAATAGTTTTTACAATTTCTTTAATACTGTTCTTACAATAAAAGTTTTAAAACCTTCCTTTTTTGTCAATTCTAAACCAGAAAGTCCCCTTAATATTATATTACTAAATTAATTATATGTCAATTTTGATAAACATAACCTACAAAACCTAACTGTTATGTCTCCGACATAAAGAAAAATAAATATTTTTTTTATAATTACTTAATAGAAAATAATTACTTGTGCATTTGTTAAATTGATTTTTCTTTGGTTGGAACAGAAAAATGTTGTATAATAAATTAAAAAATTTTCAATTAAGCTATTTTTGCTTATTTTGATCTATGCACATATCATAATTAACAAATTAGAAGAAAATCTCTACAATTCATTTAGTCATTAAAAGTGACTATTTTTTTAGTAGAAAAAGCACTACTAATTAATTCAGTAATGAAAAGTGACTATTTTTTTTAGTAGAAAATAATGAAACAACTAATTCAATAGTAAAATATGGTGTTACTAATACAATTAGTAAAATTTTGACTAATTCACATTTAGAGAGTAGTTTTATCTCACAGAAAATTGTGCTCAATGTATACGTTTACAAAAAAAAAAAAAAATTTTTAAATTACAAGCTTGCAGTGGTAAACTTCTGAAAGTTTATTTCGCAAGCTTTTTGGTTATTTTAAGTAGCTCGATGTAATGATAAATTTTTGCTGTCTTTTTTATATGTATTTTATTGTCATATTTCCCACACACTGTGTGTCAAAAACCTGTTCTAAATTGTTTTAATTGTTCAAAACGAAGTTGTTTGATTTTTGATATTAAAAAGCAATGTTTAAGCTTTCATTTCATCCTCACAGAAAAAACCTGAATTCAAATTGAGTATAGATTCTATACTCAATTTGATTCGCAACAAAAATGAAACTGGTTGTCTCATTTCGAGTTCTAAGGTAAAAGTATCAAAATGAAACAGGCAAATTTCATTTTGAGAAAAAGAAAAATGGAAAAATATTGTGAAATAACGAATAATTTTGCACAAAAACATGAAATATAATAATTACAAAGAAGTAAATAACACGCTAGACTTAATATATTTGATTAAAAATTGCTTGTAATCGCGTAATAAAATAATAAAGGAAATATGTTTTTAGGTTAGAAAAATGAAAACATGTGTTTTGACAACAGGAACGGTACTGCCAACTTAAATAATAGCGGTAAATTTAAAAACTTATGAAATTAATTATTATCTACGTAAATAATAATAAATAATTTTTATTTAAAAACTTCTAAATATTCGTACTGGTCAAAATAATCTTTCTGGTGTTGTTGAAATATTAGAAACAATAATTGAAATACAAAATTACTCTGCTTATGATGCCAACTTAGAAATCTGAAATTCCAGCCAATATCATTTTGAATAACATGAAGTTTGTCCCATACTCATTTCGATACCCAAAAGAAAATGAGTTGCAACAAAAATGAATCCAAGTTTTTTCTGTGCTATGTATAGAACATTTAATTCCCTCACGTTTTTGTTTCACAGCTGTGCAAAAAAAGGCCAAAAACGCGTTTTTTTTTTGCACTTTAAAACTCTTGTTACTCGAAAACTAGAGCCAATTGGATATATATATTTATATAGGTTTAAGGTACAATCAAGTAGGTTTAATGTTTAGAGTCGAGGTAGAATCTCTACAATAGCGAAAACTTTCCCTATTTTAGTGAATACATATCGCTATTTCAGTGAAACTTATCGCTGTTCCAGGTAAAAAAAAAAAAAAAAAAAAAAAAAAAAAAAAAAAAAAAAAAAAAAAAAAAAAAAAAAAAAAAAAAAAATTTCTATGAAAAATTAGCAAAACGAAAATATATAGAAATAGAAATAGAGGAAGAGTAAATGGACAAAGATGAAAGAGGCAAAAAAGAGACACACGGAACAAGGATAAAAGAGAGAAATAAACAGAAAGAGAGAAAAGGGAAGGAGAGACAGTGAGAGAGAGAGAGAGAGAGAGACTGGAGCAACTCCCCATTGACGGTGCAGTGCCTTTCTCGCGGAGCGGATATATTAAAAAGGGTCGAGCCGCGGCTATAGTTGAGAGGAGAAGAAAAATCTCGCGAGGTCGAATAACCCTAAAGGATGGAGAATAATAATTTTAAAGTCGATGAGCAACAGAATGAGTAAAAGAGAGAGAGAGAGAGAGAGAGAGAGAGAGAGAGAGAGAGAGAGAAAAGGACTAAAAGTGGTGATGCAGAAGAGAAGTCGAGTTGTTCACTGAAGTAGAGTTTTTGAGGCCTGTTATTAGTGCGAGGTTTATGCTCTTTCGAATTTTTTGTGAGTGGCCCCGCGAGATGGTCCCGGCCTCGCAATATAAATACGCTTAATAGTTTAAGCACACTCCCGGGCTCGCATATATGCTAACCAGCCATAACTATCCTTTACGTTTACTACTTGGTTCAGTTTCTCTCTCTCTCTCTCTCTCTCTCTCTCTCTCTCTCTCTTCCTTTTCAACTTAATTTTCAGCCTCAAGTAGATTGCTTTATTCTTCGAGAAAACAATGCCCCGCAAGTGTACTCAGAATTCCACTTTGAAGAAAGGATTTCACACTCTCCATAGCTCTCAACGAAAGAATATTAAAAAGGAGGAGAAAAAAAACAAAAAATCATTAAAAAAAACAAAAAAAAAAGAAAAAAAAAACAAGAGGAAAAAACGAACAATATTGAAAATTCTCGTTTGTTAGTCTTCAATTTTCAGAAATAATTTCCAAATTGAGAATTTTTTTTATTTGCAACGCACAGCGAAAATAAAAATATATATTCTTGATTTAAGATAATTCCTCTTATTTTAATGACATATATTTTCCCTTTAAAATATTACTCAAAAAAAAAAAAAAAAAAAAAAAATTCTTCTTATTTAAAGAGGATTATTCTTTATATTTAAAAATTTCACTTTTATTTCATGAATGTATTAGTCTCTAATTAAAAAATTTCCTCTCATTTAAAAAAAGGATTATTCACAATTTTTTTTTTCTCTTTTTTTAAGAGGACTGTGTACTCTATTGAAAAATATTCCTCTTACAATAAGAGGAAAGTAATCTCAGATTGAGAGTATTATTTCGATTAAGAATATTTAAGAATACTCCTCTCGTTATAAATTATTCACTATTTAAAAATTATGTCTCTTGTTTAAAAGAGGATTTGACTAAATTGAAAAATATTCCTCTTACAATAAGAGAAAAATACTCTCAGATTAAGAGTATTATTCCAATTAAGAATATTTAAAAACACTCCTCTCGTTATAAGTGGATTATTCACTATTTAAAAATTATGTCTCTTATTTTAAGAGGATTATTCTATATTAAAAATTTCTCCTCTTGTATTAAGAGGATTTGTTCTATAGTTTAAAAAAATTCCTCTTAAAAATATAAGAGAAAAATACTTTCCAATTAAGAGTAATATTCCGATTAATAATATTTAAGAATATTTCCTCTTGTTTTAAGAGAATTATTAAAAAAAAAAAAAAATTCCTCTTGTTTTAAGAGGATTATTCTATATTTAAAAATTATATCTCTTATTTCAAAGAGAATTTGACAAAATTGAAAAATATTTTCCTCTTACAATAAGAGGAAAATAATCTCCAATTAAGAGTATTATTTCGATTAAGAATATTTAATAATATACTCCTCTCGATTTTAAGAGGAATATTTTCTCTATTTAAAAAACTCTTCTTTTAAGAAAATTATTTTATATTAAAAATTTCTCCTTTTGTATTAAGATTATACTATAGTTTAAAATAATCCTCTTGAAAATATAAGAAAAAAATACTATCCGATTAAGAGTAATATTACGATTAATAATATTTAAGAATATTTTTTCTCTTGTTTTAAGAGAATTATTGTTTATTTAAAAATTGACCCCTTATTTTAAGAAAATATCCTCTTAAAACAAGAGGAAAAAAATTTTTTTTAAATAAAGAATTTATTTAAAAAAATTTTTTTCCTCTTGTTTTAAGAGGATTATTCTATATTTTAAAAATTTCCCCTTGCTTTAAGAGTATTATTATTATTATTATTATACTTAAGAATATTCCTCTTTAAAAATAATATTAAAATACTCTAGTCCCTGATTAAGAGTAATATATTCCTCAATTCAAGAGGAATTTTCGCAAATGTAAATTTTCCTCTATTTTCAAGAATATTTTTTTTTCGGTGGCAAAAAAATGATACATTATTATTATAATGGAGAAAAAAAATTTTTTATCTCTGAAACAGTGATATGTTTCTCTAGAATAGCAAAAACTATTTGCTGTTTTAGTAAAAATATATCGCTGTTTCAGTGAAACTTCTATATCTCTGTTCAAGATAAAGATTTTTTTTTTCCGTTCGCATGTAATATAAAAATATATTTTTAACAACAAAATTTGTAACATTTTTTTTTTTTTAATTTTCTACTCTTTACGTTTATAAAAAAAAGGATAAAAGTATCTAATTGAAAAAAAATAGTTTTATAATTAGAGGAAAAAAAAAGAAACAACACTCACCATAACTTTCAGTTCCTTTAGCGTAAGTTCCGAAGACACTTTAAACTCGTGTGAACCCTGAATATTTCGTCTCGTTCTCGTTGGTCGCTTCCTCGTTGAACACTATTTGGGAAATATTAAATAATTAAATATTTAATATATTAAATAAAATATAATAATATAATATTAAATATAATAATTAAATATTAAATAGAATAATTAAATATTAAATAGAATAATTTATATATAATAAAATATAATTAATATTAATATTAACCAAAAAAAAAATATATATATATATATTCTTGATTTAAGAGGATTTCTCTTCTTATTTTAATGAATATTTTCCTCTATAAAATATCATGCAAAAAAAAAAGGTTTCCTCTTATTTTAAGAGGATTATTTTCTATTTAAAAAATATTCCTCTAAATATAAGAGGAAAATACTCTATACGATTTGATAGTAAGAGTAATATAAAAAGGAAAATACTCTACAATTTGAGAATAATATTCTTGATTCAAGAGGATTTTTTCAATGAGGAATTTTCCTCTATATTTTCAAGAATATTTTGTTTTAGGTCAAGGTAGTATTAATATTACAAATATATATATATTATATTTTAATATTATCATGGAAAAAAAATATTTATCTGAAACAGCGATGTTTCTCTAGAATAGCAAAAAATTTCCCTATTTTAGTAAAACACTATCGCTGTTCGAATGAAACTTATCGTTGTTCTAGGTAAACAACTTTTTCATTGTATTAATTTTTAAATAATTAATTTTAACAAAATTTTAAATTAAAAAAATTACCAAAAATTTATAATAATAATAATAATAATAATAATAATAATAATAATAATAATAATAATAAAATAATAATAATGAAACTAAATTAATAAAAAATTAATACTAATAAATTAATAATTAATTAATATTAAATGAAAAATAAATCAAGTGAATGGAAAAAAATTTTTTTTTTGAAACCCCTAACGAAACAAGAATCTCGTTAAAGTAAAATGAATAAATACAATTATTATACACTTTGGAGGACAAATGAAGAACCACTATAATTTTAGTGTATAGTGACTCTTAAAATGTTTTAACTCTCTGTTTTTTTTTTTTTTTACTGTTTTTTTTTTTTTTTAATGAAAGGTTGTCGTGAATTTTTCATTAAAAAAAAGAACAAAAAAAAAAGAAATAAGTAAATAAAAAAAAAATAATGTAACGCCTTGTCTTTTCACGAATCAAAAATTTCAATTATTACCAAACACTAAAAGGACTTAAAGGACTTGGAGGTATTGCCAATTTCAAAATTATTAGCTTCTAAATCGTAAAACTGAATCATAAAACATCCACTATGGAATTACATAAAAGGAGAGCAAACTGCAATTTCCCAAACGACTCTTCCATTTATTTACTTTCAAAAAAAAAAAAAAAAAAAAAAAAATCACTTTTTTTCAGGAGGAATTTTTTAAAGAAGCTACGTTAAACAATTTACCCCCTTCTTTCTTTGTCGAATTTTTATATTTAATTTTTTTTTTATTTTCTTTATTAATTTAATTTTTAAAAAGTTATTTTTTTTATTTAAAAAAATTTTTGTTTTTTTATTAAAATTTCTTTTTTTTAATTTTTTTTTAATTAGAAGAAAAGTTTAAAAAAAATAACTCTTGAGAGACAAAAGTAAAAAAAAAAAAAACTACAAAAGTTAAAAAATTATTTTTTTTTAAATTTAAAAAAAAAATATTTTTACTTACATCATTGTTTGATGTTTTAATAGGTTCTGCATCTTCGATACATTTTATGTATATTGTTGCTCTATCATAAGTAAGGCTCGCCATTCGTTCTACTTCTAATCTTTCACATAAACAATCCATGCATACGACTGAAACAAAAAATAAAAAATTTTGTTTTACATTATTTATTAGAAAATAATATTTTTTATTTTATTTTATTTTATATATTATATTTTAACACTACAACTATAAAATTTGAAAATAAAAATTAAAAATCAGTCAAATTTTTTATTTGGCTTAATATTTGGCCTAATTTTTACTTAGCTTAATATTTGGCCATAACCCAATATGTGTTTAGCCTAATTTTTACTTGGCTTAATATTTTGCCATAACCTAATTTGTATTTGGCCTAATTTTTACTTGGCTTAATATTTGGCCATAACCTAATTTGTATTTGGCCATATTCTTTCTTGGCTTAATATTTGGTCTTAATTCAATTCGTATTTGGCTCAATATTTGACCGTAACACAATTCGTATTTGGTTTAATACTTGGCCTTAAACCAATTCGCATTTAGCCTAATTCACAGTTGGCTTAATATTTATTAAACCTAATTTTTCACTTGAAATATTCTGTATTTAAGCTAATTTTTATGTAGCCTACATTTTTATTTAATCTAATTCCTATTTAACCAAATTTTTATTTAACCAAATTTATTTTTTCTTGTTTATTTTGCTTTCATTGTACAAAAAATTATGAGAGATTAAGTTACATACAAATTAGGCCAAATAAAAATTAAGTTAAATTAATATTTAACCAACTAAGACTTTTGTCAAATACGACTTAGGTTAAGGTAATATTATTGCCAAATAAGATTAAGGCCAAATAATTTGTAAAAAAAACTACAAATTAGGTTATATAAATATTAAGCCAAATAGGAATTAAGACTAATACAAATTAGGTTAAGGCAATATTAAACGAAATAGGAATTAGGTTAAATAAAAATTAGATTAAGGCAATATTAAGCCAAAAATAAAAATTAGGTCAAATAATTTTTTTGATAAACTATATGAATTAGGCTTAAGTAAATATTAAGCCAAATGGAAGGGAGGACTAAAACCAAATTAGGTTAAGGCAATAATTATGCAAGTAATAATTAGGCCAAATATTTTTATTTTTAGATAAACATCAAATTAGGTTATTTAAATATTAAGCCAAATAGAAATTAGGTCTAATACAAATTAGGTTAAGGTAAAATTAAGCCAAATAGGAATTAAGCTAAATACGAATTAGGTTAAGGTAAAATTAATGCCAACAGGAATTAGGCTAAATACGAATTGGGTTAAGGCCAAATTGTAAGTCAACTAAGAATTAAGCCAAATACGAATTATATTAAGGCCAAATATTAAGCCAACTACGAATTAGGTTAAGGACAAATATTAAGCTAAATACGAATTATATTAATACCAAATATTAAGCAAATTAAGAATTAGGCCAAATATTAAGCCAATACGAATTAGGTTAAGGCCAAATATTAAGTTAAATATTTAGCCAAATATGAAGTAGGTTAATGCCAAAAATTAAGCTAATTAAGAATTAGGCCAAATATTAAGCCAGATACGAATTATGCTAATACCAAATATTAAGCTAATTAAGAATTAGGCAAAATATTTAGCCAAATACGAATTAGGTTAATGCCAAATATTAAGCCAAATATGAATCAGGTTAATGCCAAATATTAAGCCAAATACGAATTAGGTAAAGGCCAAATATTAAGCCAAATATGTATCAGGTTAATGCCAAATATTAAGCCAAATATGTATCAGGTTAATACCAAATATTGAGCCAGATACGAATTAGGTTAAAACCAAATATTAAACTAATTAAGAATTAGGCAAAATATTTATCCAAATATTAATTGGGTTAGTGGCAAATATTAAGCAAAATATTAATTTGGTTGAAGCCAAATATTAAGCCAAATATGAATCAGGTTAATGTCAAATATTAAGCCAAATACGAATAAGGTTAATGCCAAATATTTAGCCAAATACGAATTAGGTTAATACCAAATATTAAGCTAATTAAGAATTAGGCCAAATATTAAGCCAAATACGAATTAGGTTAATGTTAAATATTAAGCCAAATATTAATTGAGTTAAGGCCAAATATTAAGCCAAATATGAATCAGGTAATGTCAATTATTATGCCAAATACGAATTCGGTTAATACCAAATCTTAAGCTAATTAAGAATTAGGCCAAATATTAAGCCAAATACGAATTAGGTTAATGTCAAATATTAATCAAATAGGAATGAGGTTAAATAAAAATTAGTTTAAGAAAATATTGAGCCAAAAAAAGAATTATCGCAAAAGTAATTTTTAACTGAAGTTTTACATTAAAAAAAGCATTTTTTTTGTCAAATAAGCGAAAGGTGAAAAGAAAGAAGAATTCATGTCTCATTAGCCTCATGGGGATTATCAGTGACGATATTCTTGAGTAGGGCACGCGATATCGAGGCAACCTATCAGAAGATATCGCACCCATGGTAATTACAAGTGGCTTGGGTGGACATTGGAATTCATCTGAGGGTATATAACCTCTAAACCTAACTTTGCCTTGATTTGAGCGCGCATCTCTCTCTCTCTTTCCATACCCTTTGAATGCAACCCCATACACACACACACAAGCCAAGACTTTTCTTTTCGACGACCCCTTTTACCCCCAAATGGAAAACTATCTGAACATGACGTAACACTCCTGAGACCTCGCGCGTCTATCGTTGCTGTACGGGTAAAGCTTTAACGGTTTTTGCCCTGTCCAGCTATACAGCAACAATGAACGCTTCTTGCCAGCAACGATGGCTTTTCCCATTCGCCCACCCCCCTCCCCTCCCCATTTCCTTCTGGTACCATGGGCTTTCTCCGGTCACCTTATATTATTAATTACTGTATTAATCACCCACCCCAAAACATACACTAGAAAGGTGCAATCTATTATGCACGGATAAGAGCGCTTCTCGGGGACTTGTATATATATAACTTAAATTTATAATCTCCCCCGCACACGTAATATATTAATTTTATTTGGATAAAATTACTTTTATTTTCATTTCTTATTCTTGAAATTGCAATTTTTTTTTGATTTATTTCAATTTTTAAGTAAATTTTTAAGTACTATACTTCGAATTTAAATTTTTAATAATAAATTTTTTAATGTAGGATATTTTAACAACTAATTGAATTTAGACATTTATTGATTTAAATCGAAACAGTAGGTTCCAAGTAAAGAAAAAGTAAATTTAATGTAGGTTAAATGTAGATTCTAGGTAGAATAAAAGTAGATGTAGGTTCAATGTAGAGTTAATGTAGAGTCAAACAAAATTAATGTAGGATCAAGGTAGAGTCAAGCAGGTTCAATGAAGAATTAAGGTAGAGTCAAATAGGTTCTATGTAGGATCCAGGTAGAGTCAAGCAGGTTTAATGTAGGATCAAGGTAGAGTCAAGCCGGTTCAATGTAGAATCAAGGTACAGTCAAGAAGGTTCAATGTAGAATCAAGGTAGAGTCAAATAGGTTTAATGTAGGATCCAGGTAGAGTCAAGCAGGTTTAATGTAGGATCAAGGTAGAGTCAAGAAGGTTCAATGTAGGATCAACGTAGAGTCAAGCAGGTTCAATGTAGAATCAAGGTAAAGTCAAATAGGTTTAATGTAGGATCCAGGTAGAGTCAAATAGGTTCTATGTAGGATACAGGTAGAGTCAAGCAGGTTTAATGTAGAATAAAGGTAGAGTCAAATAGGTTTAATGTACGATCCAGGTAGAGTCAAGCAGGTTTAATGTAGGATCAAGGTAGAGTCAAGAAGGTTCAATGTAGGATCAACGTAGAGTCAAGCAGGTTCAATGTAGAATCAAGGTAAAGTGAAAATAGGTTTAATGTAGGATCCACGTAGAGTCAAGCAGGTTTATTGTAGGATCAAGATAGAGTCAATCAGGTTTAATGTAGGATCAAGGTAGAGTCAAGAAGGTTCAATGTAGAATCAAGGTAGAGTCAAATAGGTTTATTGTATGATCCAGGTAGAGTCAAGCAGGTTCAATGTAGGATCAAGTCAAATAATCTTAGTGTAGGTTCCAGGTAGAGTCAAAGTTCAAAGTAGGTTTAATATAGGATTAATGTAGATTTGAGATAGAGACAAAGTAGATGTAGGGTCAATGTAGAGTTAATACAGGTTTAAGGTTGGATAAAAGTAGATTTAATGTGGGATCAAGAAAAAGTGAAGTAGGTTTAATGTAGCATGAAGGTAGAGTTAAGTAGATTCAATGTCAGATTAAGGTAGAATCAAGAAAGTTTAATACAGCTTCTAAATGTAGTGAGTATAGAATCAAAGTAGTTTTAACGTAGTGTTGAGTTTAATGTAGATTAAATCTATATATTCCAGCTGGAGTCGAAGTAGAGTATAAGTAGGGTCAATGTAGAGTCTATATGTACTTAATGTAGGTTCAATGAAGATACTAAGTAGAGTCAAAATAGATGTATGGTTAATGTAGGTTAATGGTAAGATAAAAATATATTTAATGTAGGATCAAGGTAGAGTCATGTAAGTTTAATGTAGGTTTGATGTAGATTCTATGTAGAGTTAAAGTAGAGTAAACATAGGGACAATGTAGAGTAAATGTAGGTTTAAGGTAAATTCAATATAGGTTCTTGGTAGCGTTGTAGAAGATGTAGTGTCAATGTAGAGTTAATGTAGGTCCAAAGTAGAATCAAAGTAGGTTAAATATAGATTTAATGTAGGTTCTAGATAAAATTAATGTATGATTAAAGTTGGATTAAAGTAGATTGAAAGTAGATTCAAAGTAGATACTAGATAGAGTTAAATTAAGTGTAGCGTGTATGTAGAGTCCGTGTGTTTTAAATGTAGGTTCAATCTAAATTCAAGGTAGAGTCAAAGCGGATAAAGGGTCAATTTAAAATTAATATTGGTTAAAATTAAGGTCAAAGTACGTATAATATAGGTGTAATGTTTAATGTAGGTTCTAAGTAGAGTCAAGTAGGGTTAATGGATGTTTAATGTAGGATCAATGTAGAGTCAAGTATCTTTAATGTAGGGTTAAAGTACAGTCAACTAGGTTTAATTCCGAAACAAGGTAGAGTTA